GTAGAGAGCATATTAACTGAAGTCTTTTGCAGTTCGTAAATCTTTTCAAATTGAAATATAATGATTCATAACTTAAGCCTTTAATAGAGCCATTCATCCAAGTACATGATCTCCTGCTCTTTTTGTCTATGAAAAACTGGTTTTGCATGACCTACATGCTTTAGTAAACGATGCCCTAAATCTGCCCTGTCCACTTAAACCTGATAGACATTTTGTATATCAAGGAGAGGGTGAGCTCATTTTTCCATTATCTGATGTAAAGTATGAACGGTGGCTGCTCTCTCCTGTGGTTTTACTGAGAGTCCAACTCTACAAATGCACACAGTTGCACACAGTTGCACACTTCCTCTCACACTTCTCCTATTGCTCCCTTTTTTCACTCTATCGTGATAATGCAAAACAAATTAAGCAAAAACACAGAAATGGCAATGAAAAGGAAAAGAGGGGAAATATAACAGAGAGAGAATGAAAGAGAGGGGGTTGGAGACAGATGGGCATTTTCAGAGATCATTTATCAAACTCAGGCCCGTTCACTCCCCTCCCCTCTCCAAAACCCCCATGTAATTCAGTAATCATTTTCATTATCATATAATGACCTTACAAAGCCAACAGCAGTTAGCACGGTCACTACAAACCACACAGCTGTTCCCGGCACTGCCCCCTTCATCACCTCCCAAACACGCAATTTGCCCACCGCAGGAATGGACTGTGACCCCTGCAGAGGTCAACAGAGGGATGTAGATGTGACAGGAGTTGTACTATCTACCTGAGCAAGGTCGGTTTTATCTGAGAGTGTGTTCACATGTGTACTTTTTACGTAAAGTCTCATTGCAGTGTATCTGTGCAGGCATAAAGGGTGCGAGATCAATGGTCTTGACCCACAACACTGCAGCTTGCATATGGATGAAACAAAAACCTCAAGGTCAAGCCCTTTCGTCTGCCAATGCAAATTAATCTCTAAGAGGTCTTCCTTCTGTAAGTGTTTGATTTTGACCTATGGAAGATACAACCCATTTTAAAGCGCAAATCATTCCAGAATATTCCAAAAGCACAGATGGATATGCATATATGGTCCCCTTTACATGCATTGCACTTACCCCTTCATTATAAAAGAGCTCAACCAGGAGCAAACTTCCAAGGGGGCCTCAGAACCACTTCAAACTATTTAAATGAAAAAGTTAAATAAAATGAAAAAATAAACATAAACACACACACACACACAATATATATATATATATATATATATATATATATATATGATATGTTAAAATAATATGAACTCTAAATTAAAATTCAAAAATTAGTTCTTATATAATAAGAAAATAAATAAAAAATGATAATAAAGTAATGAAAATGTTAACCCCTCCCAGTTTCTGTTGCCATAATTACAGCAGAAATACCAAAAAATACAAAATAATGTGTTGGAGAATGGGAACTTTAAGACAAAAAGCTTGAGAACAACCGCAACAGAGATACAGATCTAAACGCACATACCTGCATTTCATTTATTCAATTTTAAATAATAAATAGAAATGCAGTGCACAGCAGAAACAAAGGCCAGCAGTATAAGATAAAAACATTTTAATTTATTATTATTGTCTTCGCAGTTTATTTACCAAATTTTAATTCCACATGTTGTGTGTTATGGGAAAAAAAGAGATTCCAGTAAAAGTCCAGTAAAATAATTCATAGGAGATTGTTTGTTAATCTGGGTGACTGCAGTATCTGTCTTGTCATTTTTATATTACTAGAGAAAAATAAAAAGTAAATGACAAAAATGGGCCAAACATATTTTTAACGAGTCCATCAAAAGAGGTTAACATAAAGAGCCAAAATGTCTGAAGGTGACCTGCATGAGTGCATTAGGTAAGTTAATAAGCCCGAGTACCCATAAGTCAACAGGAGAAGCCTACAGTCACATTTAGCATCTCTGTCCCTCAGGGTAACTTCAGATAGCTGAAAGCAGGTCCAGAGGCCCCACAGTCTGCAACACTCCAACTACTGTTTAAGAAAGCAAATGTCTGTAAGACAATAAAAGCCTTAATCAATCAGCCCGCTGTGCTTATGTTTATGAGCCTGTAGCGCCAACCATCCATCACCCGGTTTTTACCACTCAAAACACAGACACAGAAACAAAAGAAAGGCATAATGTGAGGAGCGGGCCTGCTGCATACTAAATTAATAAAACAATCGTAGCCTTTCACGGCAAAATAAGCGACATGATTTAGCACGCTGCTCCAAGAAGTTTCTTTTCAAGAAGAGTGGTCAGAAATGGATGTTTGTGTTCGGCACTGTGAGTCATGATAGCTGTTATGACAGTCTGTCAAAATAATAGTATTAATACATCACAGCATTCAGGTGAGCAGAACGTGGTGTACGACGTTCACTTTATCAGCTTGTGTCGAAGGAGATATTATCAGCTATGAGTTCATTTTTGTCTTAGCAGCGTGTCTTAACCTTAGCCTGAGCTATCTGCCTGCCCTCCTTAAATGTGATTTGTTGACAGCTACTTTACAGACCTGTGCCTGATGTTTCGAAGAGTGACGTTATCTCGCTCCAGAAGGGGGGCAGGAAGTGATAGTGGAAAGGGATGAGTTCAAACACATTGCAGTGTGTGCACACAGAGGAGTGAAGGTAGCTTTATCTAATCAAGCTGCTCCGTCTGATGAAATAAACTTCCGTGGCCGTGACCGAGTGTGCAAATGCATTGTGTGTGTAAGTAACCACTCAGTTTCTTCAGCGGTGAGATGAACCTAAGACTACAAGGTACAACTTGTTCTAATAGTGAAATATTTCTCCACATCTGATTTTTATTTTTTATTAAATATAATAGAAACAAACACTATTCAAAAACTTGGGATCGGTAAGATTAAAAAAAAAAAAAAAAAAAATGATCTTATGCTCACCAAGGCTGCATTTATTTGATAAAAAAAGAAGCTATTGTGAAATGTTACAAAAAAATTATTGTGAAATATTACATTCTGATTTGGTGCTCAAGTAACACTCTAATATGATTTCTTAAATAAATAAATAAATATATAAATAAAAATTGTACTGACCCCAAACTTTTGAACGTTACCATATATAAAAGAGAAACACATTATTATTATTGGTAACACAATGGAAAATGGTCCAAAAAAAGTTTTCTGAAAAAAAATGCATTTTTCCTTGTATTATATAAATATTGTATTAATTATTTATTTTATGTATTTGTACACTCCTACAAAATTACTGAGTGAACCCTATGGGTTAAAACCATAAAAACAATGATTCTGAAAATGTTCACTGTTGTCAATCGGATTAGCAAACCTGTGTCATAAAACATTTCATTCGAAATACGTGCCTCTAAATACATTTCTGCAACACAGTTATTACGCACCTTACTAAACGTTTCGCGGCAGCTTCAAAGTGAAATGTCCAGTGAGTGGCGCTAAAACACGGGTTCAATACGTGACCCTGGTACGTTTTTTTTACGTTGATATAGGCACGTATTGCTGTGTTTTTATTACATTGTTTCAGGTACATATTGCGGTGGTTCATAATTCAAATAACCGGGGAGTGTCGCTAAAAGTGAATGATCTATTGTGTCGGAAATATCCCCTACACCAAACCAAACCCAACCCTAAACCTACCCGATAGTGTTAACAAATGCAAAACTGATATAAAAATGCATTTGTTAATGCAACCGTGCCATTTGAACTTCCTTATATGCAGGTTTGGGCTGTTTTGTCGAAGCATAGTTTCAAGGGATTCGTACCGGAGCTCTTCATCACTCAAGTGCAACTCCATACTGCGTGAGCTACCGAACAAACCTACTGAATATCAAAACCCATACATATGAAGCTGCATATGTGACGCTAACGCTCAAAAGTATCAGTTTTGAAATCTCGCAGCAAGTTAACATTGTTTTGAATATATAACATAATATTCCTAAAGTAATTACGCGAAAATGAGGCTTTATTAATCAAAAATGTGGAGCTGTAAATCATACTGTGTGTGAAAAGGAATCAAAGTTGTTGGAGTTTTACTGTCTCTAGTGTTTATTTCAACTGGAAACTGCAGCGATTCGTATGTATTGGTACGTTTTTTCAGTTTTGCAAAAATGTATTTAGGGGCACATATTTCGAATGAGCCTATGTTGAACATTCCATGTTCACTTTTGACTGAAAAGAAGAAAACATACTGTAATTTGTAAATTAGAAAAGAAGAAAAAAAACTATCATATGCTATCATATGGCAACATTAATATTTTTTGCAAATTTCTGTAAAACTATGTTGGATAATGTGGATCAGTTAACAACAGCATATCATTAACTAAAACAAATCATTAGAAGAAACATACCAAATTAAAATACCATACCACACAGCGCTAAAAGTGTGTGTGCTTGTGTCCTTGACGCCATCTGACAAATGAATCATGGTCTGCTTCGTAGTTTTCATCATCTGATTTAAGAATGCAGTTTTAGCAAATACCAGCACTGTTTACAGGTACCAACAGCCCTGGGCGTCACTCTGGGGTCAATGCGAGGGGACGACCCCCTTAAAGAGGCCACTTCACAGAAACAAGAAGACAGCGAGGAGTCCTTATTTTTGTTAAAGCTAAGATGCAAGAATTTCAAGGGGGAAATTCAGTTATTTCAGGCCACACTGACTAATGGTCTGATCTGAATACCACACACATGCACACACACAGTAGTCTGATGGGAAATAATAAAGCAAGAGAAAGGAGGAGTGTGTGCTAATGTATTGGTATGTGTATATGTGTGTGCACGGCTGGTTCGCTGTGTTATCGGAACAAATGGTCTATGTCTCTCAGTCGCCCTTATCTCAGAGGAAGGAAGTCAATGGGCTATCAGCACATGTGTATGCGTGTGTTTGTGTGAACTCTCTTGGCCTGAAGGATTGTCCTCCTGCTAACTTAAACAAAAAAAATCCTTTCTTCTATACAATTCACTGAAGACGTGACATTAAACACAAGAGTTTAGCACACTGACACATACCTGTCCCTCCATGTCTGTCTGTGCTGCTGTCTGTCCGTCAGGGCATTCAGCAAAACGTCTGCCAACTCTCTTCTGTTTTCCTGTGCCGTGTTCTCGTCCTCCACCACATCCAGCAGCAGCTGAGTCTGCAAACAAACAACACAGTCCCTTTATAACTTCAAACTACACAAAATCAGTTTTGGTCAGTCAGTCAGTTATGCACAACAACGTAATACAATACACTACAAACTTTTGGGATCAGTATTTTTTGTTTGTTTTGAAAGAAATGAATACTTTAATTCAGCAAGGATGCATTGAATTAACCAAAAGTGACAGTAAAGACTTTTATAATGGTACAACATTTTTCTATTTCATATAAAGGCTGTTCTTTTGAACTTTTTATTCATCAAAGAATCCTGAATAACAAGTATAAAGGTTTCCACAAAAATTAGCAGTTGAACGGTCTTCAACACTGATATTAATGAGAAATGTTTCTTGAGCACCGCATCAGCATATTCAAATGATTTCTGAAGGATTATGTGACACTGAAGACTGGAGTAATGACTGCTGAAAATTTTTAAATACATCAAAAAAGAAAAGTTCATTTTAACTGAAATAAAATTTCACAGTATTACTGTTTTTTATATACTGTAGAAAATGCAGCATTGGTGAACATGAAAAAACTTCTTTCAAAAACATTTTTTTTTAATCTTACCGACCCAAAACTTTTGAATGGTTGTGTACTTTATATACAGAAACCACAACTACTGTAAATGATAGCATAACGATGGGCAAAAGCATTACAATTTGCTACTAAAATTTCAAAGATATTCAAATTAAACTGCATAAAGGAATGTTGTGTCATGTTTTGACATAATTGACAAAACATAGCTAGCCCAGGAGTGTCTCATAACTTACTTGATGTGAAGTTTGAATATGCGGAATTGTAACTGATATCATGGCATAAGACAAGATTTTCAGTGCAAACTTTCGTAGTAGATAATACTTTTTTTTGTTTTTGAAGTCTCGTTCATCAGAGCAGCATTTATTTGATAAAAAATACAGTGAAAACAGTAATATGTGAAATATTAAAATTTTAATATATATAGACATATATAAATGTCATTTATTTCTGTGATGACAACGCTGAATTTTTTTGAAGCCATTACTCCAGCGCCACATGAGTTGTCAGAAATCATTATAATATGCTCAAGAAACATTTATTAATGACGAAAATTGTTGTGCTGCCTAATATTTTTGTGGAAACAGTGATATATTCAGTATTCTCAGTATTTTTATGCATGGAAAGTGTAAAAGAACAGCATTTATTTGATCTTTTTAACACCGTAAATGTTTGTACGGTCACTTTCGATTAATTTCGATTTAATTCATCCTTACTGAAAAAAATATATATTTCTTTAAAAAAAACAAAAAAAAACATTTTAATATAACAATAAAAATGTTACACTGTATTTTTTCAAAATGATCTGTTTTCTTTTCTTTTCTTTTAGCCAGTGCTTAAACAAATCAATATACATTCATTCCCTTCATGTCAGAAGTCAAATCTATTCTTTACTTATGCTGCAGGACTCCATCTTACAAACATTGATGATTAAGCCAGAATCAGAAACAGCAGGACAAAATGATATTTGCTTTTCAATGATGTTTCAATTTGCATTACTTTTAAATACAATAATAATAACATACAAAAAATAGGCAGCATGACGATGGTTTGTGTATGCTTTTTTCTGTTTAATGGACAGATCAGTTGGACATTAGTGTGCTCAAAGTAGTTTTATGTTAATGGGATAAAAAAAAATGTTAAATGCACTTTCAGCATGTCTGTATCATTCAATAATTAAACTGTCAAGAGTATTTGACTTCTCAATAAGCATTTACAGTGGCCTTAAAAACTGCACAACTAAAGGGAAACCAAAATGTACATTTTCATCATTTACTCACCTTAATGTCATTCTAAATCGTTATGATTTTCTTTCTTCTGTGTAACAAAAAAGACTATATTTTGAAATAAGTCTTAAGTGTTTTTTTTTTTTACAATGGAAGTCACTGGTCATCAAAACAGTTTGGTTGCCATACTTTTTCAAAATATCTTCTTTTATGTTCCACAGAATAAATTAAGTCATACAGGTCTGGAACGATATGAGGGTGAGTTAACGATGACAGAATTTTGGTGGAACTATCACATTAAGAAATGTGTGACATTTTTATAATTAGTTAAAAAAATTCTAATTAAACACAATCTGCAAACAAATGATGCTATAGCTTTACTACTAACTTTACCAAAATAAAAGTTGGTTAATTACTTCTAACCTACTTTTTTTATGTAGTATGCGAAAAGCAGTATGTCAAATGAGTAATGAATAGGACGTATTCATAAAACAGTAAGGTTCCACTGATTCTGAAATACGTATCTTTACTATCCCATGAGGCCACAGGAGACACATATTCAGTGTTAAGGAAAAGTGACACCGCTGACATAGTAGGTCACATGACAATAGCAACATGGCACATACAAAATGTCTGGATTATAGTCATACTACACAAATGAACTTTTGTGTCAATATAAAATACTTTTTCCACAGTCAAAAAGCAAATTCTTCATCAAAAGCAGTACATACTCTAACTGTGAATTCAGACGCAGCTAACGTAATTTTTTGTGAGTGTATAAAGTCAGAGTAACCAAAGGTGTACAGTAATTCAAAACACTAACATGTTCCACTAATGTATGACAACCCTAAAATTTGCTTGACTACATTTTGTCTCCATTTTAAACAGTATGCCTATTGTTTTATCTTTCAAAACCAGTCAAATCTGATTTTTGAGAACGTTTTGCTTGAAAAGTGCTATATTTCTTGCAAATAAATTTCATTCATACATTTTAAAGTGTAGATGAGGTGTTCGAAAACCTTTTGGGGCCTTCTGTGCCAATGCACAGACACTTTTTTCACTATATGTTGGTTGGTGGGACATGTTTTTGGGGGGAGTTCTGTTACCAGTCCACCAGTCGATGTACTGAAGCACGGTAAGGGTTCAACTACAGCAGAATACTAGAAGATTGAATCATACATGCAATGTTCAATTTGTTGAGCAGAGGCAATATATAAACGCATGCATGTGTGTGTGTGCGTGTGTGTGTGATTGAGAGCTTGGCCTTTCAGCCACATTGACCCTCTGATCTCTCTGAGGCTCATCACTTACCTCTCCCCTCAGAGCCAGCACGCTGAGAGAATGGATTATATGAAGTGTAAAACATTAGAAAAATGTGTTCACAACATCACAGCAATGTGTCCGAGGACAGAGGAGGGGACAGATAATAGAAACCCAGCTGCTGAAAAGCACAACGCAACAAGTGACAGCGTTTGAAGGCATTGTAGGGCAGCTCTGTGGGCCGCAGGCTTTTGTGCTGGGGTCTGTGGTTCCTCTAGCCAGAGGCAACTGGACATGTGCTTTTTGCTTGAGCTAATGAGGCAAAGGCTAAAAGCTTTGTGATTTTCTTTTTTTATCTGCCATGGTTTGTCTCTCTCTCACTCTCTGCTTCTTTTAGGTGGGAAAGTTTTAAAAAGGCAAACACAAAAGCCCTTTATAACATCTAAAAACACCAAATCTGCTGCCTGATATATCTATAGATTAAGAGTTTAATGATTCTACCACTCTTTCTGTTCACAATATGTCAATCTCATAGAGCTGCAGAGCAGTTCCACTCAAAAGATTTCAAATACATCCAGCGAATACAAACAGTATGAGAAGGAAAAAGGCTTTACCAATATATCAGGAAAATGTATAGTGTAAAACCATGCTTTAAGGCAAAGTCCTATGGCATTATTTGCCTTCCACACACACACACACACGCTGTGTACTGTTTCATAACACCATTACTAAATTATCAATAATTATCTATTTTTTAATTATCAATCATCCATTAATTATGATTACTTATCCATCGATATATATATATATATATATATATATATATATATATA